TGCGGGTGGGCCTGTGGCCCGGGGGTCTTGACCGACCCTCATGCCCGGGGGAGAGAGAGAGAGAGAGAGAGAGAAACCATGACTGACACGGTGAGGGGGACTTGTTCTCCCTTACCCCTAGCCCTGAAAGAAAGAAACCATGACTTTTTCACAGCCTGTTGGAGTTCCCTACAAAGCCTCGAAACAGGGGCGCGCCTTTCGGCGCGGGGAGCCTCACCCGCTCCCGCTCGTCGTACCGCGGAGTGAAATGAAATGAAGAGAGATAGCTAGAGAGACAGACAGCCAGGCAGGCAGGCAGGCAGACAGACAGACAGACAGACAGAGAGACAAACAGGGAGACGGACGCAGAGACACAGAGACAGCCAGCAAGCCAGCCAGCCAGCCAGGCCAAGCCACCAGGCAGCCAGGCGCCAAGCAGCCAGGCAGGCAGGCAGGCAGGCAGGCAGGCAGGCAGCCGAGACGGAGAGCGGCAGGGACTTTCCACAGCCGAACTACTTATAGACAAGGGGGCCGGAATAATTAGGAGTTTCACGGTGCGTCACAAGAAAGATAGAGAAACCTAGAGCAAGAAAGACAGAGAGACAGAGAGAGAGAGAGAGAGCTTGAAACGCTCCTCGTACCCCGGAGAACAGAACAGAATAGAGAGCTTGATTGGTACCCCAGTACAGTGGTCAGAGAGACCCCCGTTGCAAGCCGCTCGATAATACATTGGGTGGTTGCCTGAGGGTCGGGGACACCGACCCTTACGCCCAGCAGAAAGAAAGAAAGAAAGAAAGAGAGAGAGAGCCCACAAACACGGGGGGCCCAAGTGGCCCGGGGGCGACAAGCTCCCTAAGCGAGAGCGCGAGAGAGCGAGACCAGAACCGTATTTTCGGGGATTACTGGTTGTTCTTCGGGGTGGAGAATCCAACAAGCTGCGCTCGGGGGCTCATGTGCTGTCATTCCCTCCATGTCGTTTTAGCTTTTTTGGGACCTGCTGTGCTGGCGGGAGTGTTCTGCACAGCAACATGAGCACAGAGTTCGGGGACATTTGTCCATCAGCTTCCTGAGGAGTAAGTTGACATAGACTCCGGGTTCAACTCGCGCATGTGTCGCAAAGTTATGCAAAGTTGAGGGAACGGTGATCACTTGATTGTCCATCCTCACTTTATGCTGCTGGTTGCCCTCAGCCATTTTTAATCGCCCTTCAAAGCCCCGAACGCACGGGGGGGCCCCAGTGGCCGGGGGATCCGACACGTCTATTCAGAGCACGAGCGCGAGACAGATTTAGCTTTGAAAAGAACGACGTAGATATGTCAGAGCACGGGTCGAGCCAACAGACCTGGTGCCCTTGCTCACGAGCTCCGAAAAGTTGTTGAGGTCTTCGTGGTGCGGGCCATGCAGATGGTGGAGCCATGGCCTTTGTACAGTAGCTGCAAGAAACGTGCCGGTCATGATGCTGATTGGACGAGTAATGACGAAGTGCAGTAGGATGTCTGTAGCCTATGTGAGATGCTGAGTGCGTGGCTTGGCTGTCATGGTGCTCGTCCGATAAATTATGGGGGCGTGATTGTCAGACCTCGTATCCCAGACCACCAAGAGGGGCCCGGACTCCAGGACCCCTCCTCGGCCCAGGAGCAAGGAGTGCTCCAGCTCCACGACCCGGTGAACAGGTATCTTCCCTACTGGACACAAGACTCCAGTGACCCTCGTTCACAGGCGCTGCGTCTGACGGACTCAGTTCATGTCATGCTGCATCGTGTTTGCGGCATCTGCGGTCTTTGAATGCGAACACATCGGCCGAACGGGAGTTGAGAGTGCAAATCATTCCAAAATCTTGTGCACAGGTCTGACAACTGTAGCCGACTGTAGCCATGTGCTCGCGCTTTGTCAGGTCACTCTGTTCCACCTCCTCAGTTTCCAGTCTGGCTACACCTTCGGCCTGACAAAGGTGGCAGTGTCGCGTTCGTGGTATTTTGATGCTGACCCGCGAAGCTGCTGCCTGCTGCCAGGTGGATTCGTGCTGGCTCAAGCCCTGGCTGAAGCTTGTCTGCCTAGCGTCTTGGGTAGACTACACTGTGCGTTATAGATCCAGACACTCAACAAACTCATCCACATGTCTGGCAGTTGGCGAGGCTGCAACTGAAGCTGCCTTAAGCTTCGCCACACCCGGATTACACCCATGGCCCATGGATTATCAACGAAGCTTCTAGCTCCGTTGGGTCCTGTATCGCTTCGTCCCGCCTTTTGCAGCAGCATCGCGTGTTCTGTCAGCCTTCGTCAGAAACTCCTACAAAGGGAGTTCCAACAGGTGTACAAATCCGTTTCAAGCAAACCTTTCATAAGCCCCAGGAAGGATTTATCGGGGATACCAAAGCCCACCAAGATCAGCCTGTTCACCCGAGGAACTTCAGTGCATGTGTGGAGCGCCTTTACGACTCCCTGCCGCTGGGGGCCGCCCCGGGCACTGTGTGGGACTACAATGAGTTCCACAATCAGGCACGTCGGTCGTACGTCGCTCTTCTTCCTCGGCTTTCCATGGCAAACATCGTACCACCACCACCACCACCACCACCACCACCACCACCACCACCACCACCACTACCACCCAGCAGCAGCGGCGGCGGCGGCAGCAGCAGCAGCAGCAGCAGCAGCAGCAGCTCGTATTAGCACCACTGTTGTCGCCCATGTTGTGTTGTTTGTCTCAATCTTTATCTTCTTTTATGAGTTTACTGTTTCTGATTGTTCTTGCTCTTACGAACACGTGGTCATTATGGTCAGCTGTGCAGTCATGATCTCGTTTGTCAGATGGGAGTGGTATTCCCCCTTCCATTGTTGCACTTTTGTTGACATTTCTGTCGGTTTTTGCTGCTTCTCCAGCTGATGTAGTTGTGAATGTCGTCGTTGCCGTGTTGTTTGTTGGAATGTGCATCGTGACAACGAAAAATGATGTTATGCTTCATCCTTTTTTTTGTGCTATTGCCCGTGCTGCTAAAATTGCATTTTCTTCTTTTGCACTACTGTCTTGTGCATCTGTTTCTTTAAGAATAGTCTTTTTTGTTGCCGCACGTTTGGGTGGCGTTAATCAGTTTCCTCATCATGAAAGCCATTGTTACCCCTGTTACGTTTTGCTTAGACACTCCTTGCTGGTTTTTCTTTTGGATGTGTGCTGTCCTTGCTGTCGTGGGACCCAGTAGGGATCCCAGGTCAAGTGTTTTCCGTGCAACATTCCCGCTGAGATAATGTACTTGGGCGTCTTCAGTCATGGACCCCCGGAGCAACGAACAGCAACGAATGATGTGCTTAAGGGGTGGTGGTGGGGGACTCCCAAGTACGGTGGGTGCTCTGGGTGTGGGAGTTTCGGTTAGTTGGCCAAATGTCTGTGCTATGTGCTTCTATGAGCCCTAAACAGTACAGCTACACCCCAAACCTGATTTCTCCGATGATGTTTTTTGTCGACTGCAGGGTAATGCCTCTTCGGAGGGACACTACAAAGGAAACTCTAATGTAAGGCGCCTGCAAAACTCGGCCAGAGCACTAGCACTCAGGATAGACAGCGCAGAGACCCCGAAAAACATATGGGAAAAGCTCCAGCTTAGAGGTAGTGGCGGCGGTCTTGGAGAAGGTGACTGGCACCGACATCTACACGCTCCTGTCCGAGGACACCGGGTTGCGAGGGTTTGGCATTTAGGGTTTAAGCCAGCATTGCTTGATGCCTCTGAACATGTGTGGGTTGCGCCGCGGCGGCGCGGGCCCGATGAGAAAAGGGCTTGTAGAGCTGAGGGTCTGGGGTGTAGGGTTGTGAGGGCCAGGTTCTCGGTTCATGCGGCTGTCAGAGGTATTTTGAAGCAGAGCAGATATCTGCAGGCTATTCAGTGGCCCGAATGCGGGATGTGGTGGAGCCCAGCATATCGCTTCAAGACCATAACTTCCCTTCTCGGGCAGAGCATGCAAAGCCCCGAGTTCATTTGGCATGCCGATGACCAGAATCCTGGAAGAGCCCGGAAGTCCACATCCTCTGCTCCTGCTGGGCCCGAAACTGGCAATCCCTTCACTGCGGGCCTGGCTCATATCCAAAACCCTGAAGTCATGGCTGACTCCCCAAGAAAGGCTTTTCCTTTGTTTTCCTAGTGGTGTCGACGTGGGTTTGAGGGTTGGTTGCTGGGGGGGCCCAGTCTAGTCGTTGAGAGTTGAGGACCTCAGATCCTGGAACATGACGCATAGCCGCTATCCGCACCACTTCGGGCCGGGGGGCCCGGATGTGAGCGCCGACCTGGTGACAACGGCTGTGGACTACGAGCAGCCCCATGGCCTCAGTTGTTCCCTTTCAGCCCCTTTGCTGGTTTCGCCGGTCAGTCTCAAAATAATCCCGAGGAGGTACCCCCCACCAGTACAACCCACCACGTTGGGGCTCTTGCTGGGTTCTAGAGCCTGCCAGGCGTCCGGAGCTGAAGTCCTATTCTTGCAGGTACGCGTAGAAGCAAAACTTGACTCGGCAGAGGAGTTTCGTGTCTGTACACTGTAATCCTCTAGCGTTTGGCGAAACCGTCGTTCTCCGAGCTTCAGGAAAGCGGAAACTGTGTGGCAAAAACAATCTGATTGACTTTTCAAGCTTAATATAAGTACCTTAATAATTCCCTCTACTATTTTGGGGGTTCCTTATTATATACTTATGGTGTAATATACCCCGAAACCCTTTTCTAATTGTTCAGGCCCCATACATTGACTGGCTTTCAAACTCCCTTGGCATGTCGGCTTCTGGGGTTTTCTTTTGAGCCACGTTGGCTTGCAGAGCTGCGCTTTCTAAGGGGACAATGCCTCTGGTGTCGGTTTAGGGTATAGGGTTTAGGGTTTAGGCTTTCGTAATTACGAAAGCTGGCTCCGCAGTAAAGCTGCTAGGGCTGCTTGCTCCAACTCCGGGCGAAGTGGAAAGCCTGTTGCAAACAGGGTTTAGGGTTTAGGTGAACAGTCTTATGGCATGGTGAGGTACATAAGATATAGTTTCTGGGCTTTGATCAGGGTGGTATTTTTCATGTATACATGCAGACGGGCATACATATCCACATACGCGCAGACACACCAGAACACACACACACATGCACATACATATAGACATTCGTACACACATACACACATACATACACATTCTGAAGAATGTTTGCAAAACTATTCCTTCGGATTCTCTCCCATATTTATGGCGTAGACACAGCCCTAGTCCAATTTTGAGGCTTCTTCCAAGGTTTTGTTTTTGTGCGTGTGGGGAGTCCGGCTAAAGGAACTACCTTAAGCCCTTCAGCCGGGTCTTTATAAAGAAGACCAGGTTCCATGCCGCTGAGGAACGAATCTAAAGGGCTCCACGTCGGAGGCCCACCAGTGAGAGGGACAAGCCAGTTCAAGTTTCCTAATTTGTGGTTGCCCCAAGTGGCTTCTGCCCGCCTAGCACACTCTAAGTGCCCTCAGCTCTGAAGCCCTGGAACTAAGGTTCATGATGCGGTACTTTGGCGGGCAGCTCCTTAAGAACGAGACGGTTTCCATCATGGAGCAAGATCACATGCCTGCAAGGTGGCATTTCGGATGTCGGACTCGATGGGACTAGCTGTCATGAGAGCACTGGTTGCTTGCCGCGGCTCATTTCGGTCTTGAGTCGCTTCTGCAGATCCCGTTTTGGAGGTGCTCTCTGCAATCCTGTCCCCTCGTTATCCCACAGGGCCACTATGGCTACTGGGCCGAGCTATGGAGCTCTGGGGCTTGGTTCTAGGCTACACGCGATGACGTCTGTGCACGAAGGCTAGATGCCGAAACATCCGGCAAACTCTCAATGACTTACAAAACCACTGAAAAGGTTGGCTCAATCCTCCGGCCGTGATGATCCACCCTTAGCCCTGAGCCCAGGCATCGGGAATTGGTGGCTCTGTTCCGGTGACTTCGACCCGCTAATCCATCGGACGAAGTTGGAGCCAATGCCAAAGCGCTGTGTAGAGGCCGGGGGTTGAAGCTTTGCTGCTGGTGGCATGTCGAATTCAGTCGAGTTTTTGGAGGGTTCACGGGTCACGACGAGGGCCTTCGATGCTCCATTCACTGCTTCCCCCCCACCACCACCATCATCACCATCATCACCACCATCACGATCATCAGAAGCATCGCACCTACCATCGTCAGCAGGCATCGTGATTGTCATTGTCGGCACGGTCCCATTTCTCTGTTGAATGGATCCCCGGCTTTGCCCTTTTGAATGAGGGCTAGGCCAGGGTCGAGCGCGGCATGAGCTCCAAAGCAAAGCCACATGTGAACTAACCCCTAAAGCCCTAAAGTCTGAGTCGAAGCGCCAAGACCTCCAGCTGGCAGGCTCAGGTGCACTCGGATCAGGGGCTCTTCGGCTTCTGGCCTGTTTGGGATCGCCGGCTGGGCTACTGGACATCAAGTGTTGCAAGCTTCAGGTTTAGTTTCGGCTCCAGACTATTCGTCTGAAGTCTCAGAGAGTGTGGCCGGAAGGTTTGAGTCAACATTAATGCATAACCCTAATTGGAATTTGTTTCTGTCTCTTAAAGGGCCGATGCGCCTCCGAAGTCAGCAAGCAGCTTTTCCGACATTTGTGGTCCGTCAGCGTCGATGAATCTTGCGTACATGCACTTCGGGGCAAAGGTGAGCCACCAAAGCATTTGTTATTCTTACTGTTATTACTGTTATCACGGATAGTCATATCCTTACCATGATTATGATTCTGATTTTGTTGTTGTTTCGTCTCGAGCACGGAAGCCTCATAGGCGCACGGAAGCCTCATGGGTGTCCTGATAGTTGTTGACACACAGGACACAGTTGCAAATCCTAAGCGAGCTCCCCCCCTATAGACACCTCAACCACAGCCTAAACACACTAAATGCCCCAAGCCTGAAAGCCGAAACCCCAAGCCAAAAACCCTGAACCAGGAGGGAGGCGAAACAGGGAGCCCCTTTGCTCCTGCGGGCAAGCCTGAACGCAGGAACCCCGAAGCTCCCCCGCCCGGCTCAAGCGAGGGCATCTTTCGCGCTTGTAGTGGAGGTTGCGTGCACGGGTCTTGATCGTCTTTCCAAAGCAGACAAGACGTCCTCTGCTTGCGATTCCACTGACAGACAGCATGATTATCCGAAATCCAAGTGCAAAGCCCTGGCCCTCCACGTGCAACTAAACGGTCCTGAGTCCGAAAGGGATGTGAGAGTGCCAGGAAATAGTGGGCCCAAATACTGTCCCTATGGCTGAGCAGCAGGATCCTTATTGTGAGGACGCTCGCGAACAAGGCACACCTGGTTTCTGAAACTTCCATGTCCTTCCAAACTGCACGGGATGTCTCATCCGTGCTTGTCGGGGAGCAGCGCTCGGAAGATCTAGTGTCGCAGGGTGTGGCACCTCGCGAAGCGAGACGCAGAACGGTGCTTCGGAACTGGATCCTAGAGCGCCTCTCCAGTCTGATACTAGGCAGGCCACTGGGATATGCTATGCCTTTTTGCTGGCTTTAGGAGGATCTTAGTCCGGAGTAGGTTCTTCAGAGGTCTAGAGGGCCACGCCAGGATATGGTTTGCAATGCTTTCTGCCGTGTTCATGCCTCATGTCGTTGGCCTGCTGTTGGTAGCGGCGATTTTCGTGGCCAAGTCCTTTGACATGATCAGTGGCCAGAATGTCGGCGATGCGATCCAGGACCTGTTCTTCAACCACTTCGCCGATGCGTGTGACCAGGCTCTGGGCCTGCTGGCCGAGATCTTTTGGATTGTCATGCTGGTCAAACTGGGCTTCTTTCAAATCTGGAAATGGGCACAGGACTTCAACTGTGAATGCTCGTGCTTGAGTTCCGTTTTCTTTCATCTGATTCTGCCCCCGGCAGTCGCTTTCGAGCTGATTTGGCCGATCTGGACTTTCGTGTGCCTCTGCATCTCTTCGGCGACGGGGAAGTGCTCCCAGGAGCTTAAGTTGGGTTGCTGGCTGTTGCTGGCACCCTACTTCCTGCAAGTCACTGGCATCTTTGTGTACATCATCTGGCAGTGTGTGAAGCCCGTTCTATATCGGACAGGAATCATCCCGGACCCTGGCAACCTCACAATGGAGTTCCAGCACATCAACTTTCGGCCGGAGGACTTCGTTGAAGATGAGGGTGGCTACCCGCCGAGCTGCTCCATCTGCTTGGTGGACTTCTCGGCCGATGACACAGACATTGTGGTGACACCGTGCAGTGGGCAAAGGCACCTTTTCCATAGGGCTTGCCTGGCAACGTGGTTCCGCATCGCCCAAACTTGTCCCCTTTGCCGCACAGCCCTTGGCGGTGGGGTGGAGGCAGTGGTGCAGGGGCAGGCGCCACTGACGCAGAGCGCTCTTGAACTGGCATCGAACGGGGCTTCGCAGCCCTGAGAGCCGATTTTATTCCGCAGCGACGCTCAAAGCTTTGTTTCAGGTCTCGGACTTCAGATGTAGGGCAATGTAGGGCAGGGATCAGGGATGTTCAGGGTCTAGGCTCATGAACTATTTCCGGCTTATAAGCACATCTCCAAGAGGCGTGGTCATCAGTGTCTGCTGTTCGGGCTGGGTTTTCGAGGTTGTATGCCCGTACCCTGACCTGCCGGGTGTGGCGTCGGAGAGGGTTGGAAAATGTAGGTAAGGGGGGGGGGAAGAAAACAAACGAAAGAATGAAGTGCGTCTTGGTTTCCTTTAATTTCGCTCTCTTCATCCTTGTGCGGCTTGTGCGCACTTGTTTTGTTTAATTGAATCGCGCGTTCCTTGCATTTCATGTAACAAAGCGAAGTGCAAGGGAGAAAGACACTTACGAACGGCCCTTATGATTGGTAATGAGATGTGATGAACGAAGACATGAAGTGAATCATGCTTTGCTCTTTCTCTTTCATTCGCTCCTCTAATTTCACTGTAATGGAGGAACTTTCACGAATGAAATAAGAGAGCGAAATGAAGAGCAAATCACTTCTAATTCTTACCTCACAATCTAGTGCTTGGGTATCCTGTGTGCTTTGTGTTCCTTTAAATTCACGCACTTTGTTTTCTTATCCCGTTTGTAGCTTAATGAAAGAAAGCAAAGCACAAGAGAAACAAGGGAAATGCTGTTCCCTAACTTTATAAGTTATAAGGCCTTGTTTACTTGAGCCAGAGGTAAAGACTGCACGCTTTGTTCAATTCCACACGGGCACTCGATCTCGTTCGTATGGGGTGTTTCATTTAAATAACGCACGCGTGCCTTCGTCTTTAATCATTAAAACAACACCACAGTCTGCACTTCATATTATAAGGGGCGTGTACGTGTGCTTCTTTCGTTTGATTTAGTCTTTCGTGCTTTTGCCCACGCGTTCCTTGTGCTAAACGACTAAAAGATAAATTAAACGTAGCACACGTGCTCTTTATCCTTTCTCCTTAAAATATAGTTCTTGGGGAACCAAGAAGTATGTAGGTATGTATATATGTGTATGTGATCTCTGTGTGTGTGTGTATGTGTGTATGTGTGTATGTGTGTATGTATGTATGCCTGCATGCATGCACGCATGCTTGTATGTATGTACGTATGTATGCATGCATGCATGCATGCATGCATGCACGCATGCATGCATGCATGTATGTATGTATGTATGTATGTATGTATGTAGGGAGGTATGTATGTACATATGTATGTACTTTAGGTATGCATGCGTAAATGTAGACACACACAGACACACACACACACACATATATATATGTATATATACACATATGCATATATATACATACACACACACACATATATACACACACACATATATATATATATATATGCACATATATATGTTAGAACATCTTTTTCAAACATTTCACACATCACACACGGATTGCAATCTTTCAAAAATCGTATGTCGTATGTCATACATCGCATACCATTTTTTAGTCAACAGATATCGCATAACATAAATAGGTCATAGATGGGTAGACAGATCGATAGATCTGTGGACCGATACATTGATAGACCGTTAGATCGGGTCGATAGCGCCGTAGACCGATAGATCCGTAGATCGATGGGTCGATACATCGACAGATGACAGATTGGTATGAGGTAGGCAGGTGGTTGGGTGGGTGGGTGGGGTAGGTGGGTAGGTGGTGGGTGGGTGGGCAGATGGGAGACAGGTAGATAGATAGATGCTAGACAATGCTGGATAGAAAGATAGGGACTATGTGGGAAGAGATATTCAGTAGTTTCGTATTGGTTGTTGTTTGGCGTTCTTGCAAGCAACCATTGCCAGCCTTGCCGGGGCTCGTGCGAGTGTGCGTGTCAATCAAAAACACTGCCCCATGGAGCCCTGCATAGCGGACATTCAGAATGTAAATCCTGAGCCCGAAACCCTAGACGTAAACCTTAAACCCGAAACCCTAAACTCAAACCCAAGCCAAGGCTACTGGATGCTGCTGGCTGTCCAGGGGCTGCCCCTCCTTTCTGATTTCAAGGCGGGGTGGTGGCATTTCTCTAGGCACAGGCGTGGTACAAAACTCAGAAATCTTGTTTGTGATTTTGCTTAGGACTGGTTTTACGGTTTGGGGAGTGGTGAGTCCACATCTGTATGTAAAGTCGTCCTCTTTTGAGGGAGTGGAAACGTAGAAGCCGCATTGCCTAACTCATCCCTCCCGGTATTGATGACGGCGGGGGCTCAAAAGCACTCCCTGGGTTAATCCCAGTGTGAGCGTCCAAACAGCTCTGGAGCCCCAAGAGCTGGGAGCCCCAGGATCTGGCAGCCTCCTTCGTAGGTCACCCCCTGGAGGATTTGTTCAAGAGTCCGGGCATTCTTGGAAGTTTCCCACCTCATCCGACTACGCACGAATAACCTCGCCTGGCTTGTCCGAGCGTGAGGGTTTTGCAGGCCGAGCTCCTACAGACAATTCTGAAGCCCTTTCTCGACAAGGTGCCTCCCAGACTGCCTTTGTCAGGCTGTTTGGAATGTGTGATGCGTTTGGTATTGGGGAAGCGGGGGCTCAGGATTTCAGGCTTTCGAAAAAAACGTGCTGTGAGGGACAGCGTTGGTGGTTTTGGCTGAAGTTTGTAAGCGCCTTTTTGTAGCCGCCTGCGTCCCTGCGCCGTAGCCGTCCGAAGGATTTGATTGCAGGAGGCGACAAGATGAGATAGCCGATCGCAAGACATCGTGAGACCTTCGCAGAGGGAGTGAGAACGGAATATATATATATATATGTATATGTATATATATAATATTCATATTAATATTAATATTAATATTAACATTAATATTATATAATAAAATAAAATAAAATATAATATAATATAATATAATATAATATAATCTAATATAATATAATCTAATATAATATAATATAATCTAATATAATATAATATAATCTAATATAATATAATATAATCTAATATAATATAATATAATTTAATCTAATATAATATAATATAATTTAATCTAATCTAATCTAATATAATATAATCTAATATAATATAATATAATATAATATAATATAATATAATATGTATATCTATATCTATATATATATATATTCATATGTTCAAGCGACGCAGTCGAGGAACACATGTGCAACATACTCGGACAAAGCTAGAAGCGAAACGCTACGACATGGTACGACCTAGAAAGTAATTGTGCAGGCGGTGCAGGAGCAGCGAGGTGCCACGCCGCTGCCCGACCTGCCACTGCCTGACTGGAGCCTTGCTCAGGCAGACACAAAGGCTCTGTCTCCGAGCATTGTAGTTTAGGAGTTTTAAGCACAGGGCCCGATGCCTGCTTTTGGACTCTAGACAGTACTTACTTGGAGGCAAGCTGAGACATGGCCTCCGAAATGCAGAACTCCGATGTAAAGATGCCACTGCCACTTTACTACCGTTGATATGGATTGGGTTTCCAGATTTGGCCTACCTCAACCACGGCTAATTTGAACCCCTCTTGGCAATCCTTGCCGTCTTGAAGAGCTCCATGACAGCCTAAACCCAAACATCGCGCTCTGGGTCTAAAACAATCCGTACTCGGATTCGTAAACTAGTACATCAAGTGAGGTGCTGAGTTTCTTTTGGCAAAGTGTGCAGGGCATAGGGTCTAAAATAATGGTCTGCATATCGAAAGGTCGAGGTGTTCAGGATACGGGCTGACGGCCCTGTGCTGCACGGGGTGCGGTGGATCAGCCCGCAGGTACAGGGGGAAAAAGCTGCATGGTTCGTGCTGCGTTGCTGTGATGATTTGAGACTTGTTGCCTGCTGCTCCGTGGAGATGCAGTGCTGGTGAACGGGGTTCTTCACAAAGCGATATCACATGATGGCACGGCAACTCCGGGCATTGATGAGGTCTCGTGCGTGGAGACGCCATGAATGCGATGCTCATGCCGCAGGAGGAGTGGCCAGTTCAGTCTCAGCCCGGGCAAAGCGATGACACAGCACCCAGTGCAAGTGCCGGCTGTGATCTATGTCGGGCATAGCTATAAGTGGGCGGTATGTACCAGCTTCTCTTGCTGCTTAGCAAGTACATGCGCATGTATGCATCTATGTATTTAGGTATGTATGTATTTTGTATGTATGTATGTATGTATGTATGTATGTATGTATGTATGTATGTATGTATGTCTGCTCAGCACGCATACATCCGCACAGAGACAGACAGGCAGGCAGGATACCATGCAGCCATGCGTGAATGGATCCGATCATCGTCGTGGGAGGCCAAGCTGGCGCTGCTCTCTTTCGGCGTGAGACGAGCCGACGGAGGGCTCCGAAATCGGAGATTCACTTTGAGAGCTGCAGCTTGTTTTGGGGATAATGGCGTTATATGGGAGAGATATCGGACTTGAAAAAATCGCTGAGGTTGTGACCCCCCCCCGCCTCCATCCCCCCATTCCCCCCCGCAAGGCAGTTCATATGGGAATCTCTGGTAATGCTCTAGGACAGGGTGACGTTGTGGGAGACATCCTTTTCAAGCCCAGTACAACGTCACACCTCTAGAGGAGCGAGCCGGAGTAGTTCAGAGCTTGGAGGCCTAGCTGCCCACGGACAGTCGGGACTTTGGACGTGGGTCGGCCAAGCTAAATTCCAATTCACCGCGAGAGCTGCCAGCAGAGGCTGGAGGTTTGGGTGTCTGGCTGCTAGCTTCTAGAGAGTCGGAAAGCTTGCGAGCTGTGTTTCAAGGCTCGTCAAGCTTCCCGCCTAAACATGATGTCTGCTGCAGCGACACCACAATAGGCCCGGAAATAAACCTGATGTCGAGCTGTTCAGGGCATCTGTGGCTGCAGCATGCATCGGTCTTTCGTCTTTCATTGTAGCATTTGTGGGGGACCCCAAACTACCCCAACCTCCAGCCCCGATCTGCTGTCTCAGCAGAGAGACGTCGAAATGGGCATTGTGCAACCATGGCAAAAAGACAGGGCCGCGGCGACAACTGTGATGAGGGTCATGAAGATCGTGCTAGAATGGTGTTGACGGGGATGATGGCTGGCACTCTTGCGGCTCGTGCGCTGATGATGGTGATGGTGAGAATGATGACGACGATGATGATTACGATGATGCTCCTCCGGTCGCTTGTAGCGTCGCTGCTGGTGAGGCTGCGGCGATACACGTTGAAGATAGTGCTGGGGTGGCAAGAGCCTGCGGATGATGAGGGTAGCAAGGATCTTGGCGACGCTTCTTATGATGCTCTCGGTTTCGGTAGCTGGCAAGAGCAGCGTGACGGTGTACCTTGCAACCGGACCACAGAGCCGATAGTAACGATAGTAGTAGTGCTGGGGGTGTGCTGACGATGACGATGGTAATGATCTCTGTCTTGTGTCGTGGCTGACAGGTGACTGAGTCCATGAGAGAGAAGGCGAGAGAGTTCATCAGAAGCCGCATTTTATCATGACTGCTGCTCTTGGTGCTGCATCGTTGTCCTCTTCGCAAAGCCCTAAGCCCGAAACTCCAAGCACTACGCTCTAAGCCCTCCATTGCCAGGATGACGACGAGCCTGAGGAGAACGCTTGTTCCGGCTGCATTGACAACACAAGCAAGAGCTTGAAAGCAGTAGTGATGTGGTTCATTTGTTTACCGAGACAGTTTTTTCAGTCTTTTGCCTGTCATTGCGGTCATGAGTCTGCAATGCTTTTTCTTCATCGTGTTGTTGTTCGATGTGTACCTGCCACTACCATGACAGCATGATTCGACTCGCTGAGCAGACGTGTCCGCAAGCTAAGGTAACATGCGGTAGCTTTAGCATGTCTTATCCTTTTGCTCTGAGGCCCAGTTAGTATTCTCTTCTCATCTCTCATCATCCAGCATGAACAATCTGTCATGACGGCGTGATGAATGTGCAAACGTGAAAGGCCAGGCAGGGGACCTCCAAAAGGCTGCAGCCCCGAAGCTTTGCAGCAAACGGGCTGCACCCGAAGATTTGCTATACTCCAGCCCTGCAGGAAGAGGATCGCGGAGACTATTCCGAGAAATGGCGGTGGGCTCGGAGATTTAAGGACCTGGTACAAGGATGCGCTTTGGGGTTTGCGTTTTGATGTCCGTTATGTCGATAGATGTGGTGAACCCTTCAACTCAAGTATAATAGCAGATTGAAAGGAATTGCTAAAGCAAGTGCAATACCCGTTCGACTGGCATTAGCAGCAGCTGCAGCAGCAGCAGCAGCAGCAGCAGCAGCAGCAGCAGCAGCAGCAGCAGCAGCAGCAGCAGCAGCAGCAGCAGCAGCAGCACTAGTGCCAGTGGTAGCAGTAGTTGTCAGCGAACAAGCGCAAGACCAACGGAACTGCATGTCCTTGAGCTGTGTACAAAACAGCTCCAAATTTTTAGAGCTCGGAAGGGGGACCCAAGTACCCTGCTCCCATAAAGAAGAGCGAGTGTAGTGCCAATCTAAGAAAGGGGGCTCTCATAAATCAGAGGTCTACAAAACCCTGGACTCCTGGACCCCCGAAACCCACCATACACCTTAAACTTCTACAGCTGAAGCTGGAACCCTGCACCTATCTGACTGTGAGCGCCCAAACCGCTCATTACGGCTCATGAGGGCGACCGCCTGTAGGCTATAGAAAAGTCTTGGCTTTGAGGTCCCAGCAGTACTTGGAGATGGCTTCCAAGCCCTGGCCTGAGACAGCTTTCAGGGTTTCAGGTTAGCTCAGAGAACGTAGGAGTCTTTTTTACATGAACTGCCCATTCAAATCCCGAAGCTGTAGGCCCTACAAGGTGTGAAGAATGTGTGTTCAGTGGTAGTCCCGTCCGGTTTCACCAACACCACCTACAGAAGAGGTGAAGGGTAAGATGGTCAGCCCCAGGACTCCTTGAACTACGGCAGCAGAGAGCTTCCTGTAGTCATCTCATTCACTAGTCTGGATCCCTTACATCTACGAAAGATCCGAATCTCAGATTTACAACCTTCAACACCTTGCATTTGTGAAAACCTACAAACCCGAAGCCCTAGACCAAAAACGCATGCCTCGCCTGCAGTGTCTGAGTGTGAGCAGCAGAAACCCTAGACCCGCACGCCAACCCGCAAAGGTTTGGTGGGATTGAGTGTGGGCGCCGAAACCCAAACCACTCTAATCCCTCCACTTGAAGCCCCCCTGAACTCCAAACCCCGAGCTCCAAGTCCCTGAAACAGTCTGTGACATCTGATTGAACTGTGGCGACCGATGGTTTGCTTAATTATTGCATCTACTGTGCACCCCAACAAACCTCGCCGTGAGCATAGTTCTCTGCAATGCGAGAGGGAAAAAAAGTCCCTGAGAAGATTTGATTGCAGGCTGGGCGAGATGGAGGGTGGCACCGGTGGTGGCGAGAAGAAGTCATCAAGCCGGAGACCTGGGAGGTTTCTAAGGTTCCTGGTTTTCGAGGGCCTCTTGATCATGCAAACATACCTACAGGACATACATGCATGCTTACATGCATACGGGCGGGAAAGACTGTTTATATAAACACAGCTCTATAGGCTCTATAGTTGATTATTGTGAAGCTGATCATTGTGATCATTGTTGTCCGTAGCTGCGTGCATACAGTTGGAGTTCGTTAAAGTTATTGTGGTCCCTGTTCTCGTCACTACTGCCGTCGTAGTAGTAGTAGTAGT